ACTTGTATAGTTTTTCAATTATTAATGAAATACTTGTACATATATGCATATATTACCAATTATATATTCAGAAATTGTATGTATGTTAACCTTAGGTAAAAACTCGTATGTTTTTTATTGGTAATAATTGAACAATTAAGTGTAGAGATTATGACAGGTTATTACAAAAATAAAAAATGAAAAACTCTGATTTTTCAAATTTTATATTTTAATTTTTTTTAAAAAAATCTAATGCAATCTTTTTATTCAATTTTATTAATTTGATTAGTGTATAAAAATGTAATATTAAACATTTCTTTAAAATTAAATAACAAATTTTAATATTTAGAAACTAAAGAATAAATTAAATCAATTTTTTATATTAATTAAATACAAACGATTATCTTATCTGGAAATGTTTTTAGAGATTATTTTTCATGAGGATAATTTTTATGAGTTCTCTTAACTTTTTATTTAATTTAATATTTTGTTTACCATATTTATTAGAAATTAATTTTTTAACATTTTTAAAATAAACTATTGATAATTAAAAATAATAATTTAACACTAAATGCTAACGTGATTAAGCAATGCTTTTTAACTAATAAAAAACAACGAAAAACACAAACATACTTTTATTTATATATATGCTAAAAAAATACTCTAGAAGAAAAAGCCGAAATTTTTACCTAAATATTATTTTTTTTAACAAAAATACCCAAATAACCACTGTGCAGGTTTATTTACACAGCAGGATTCGACTTTAGTTTTAGCTCCTTCTTATCGAGGTAAGGGGGTGTGAGAAACCTCGCTCGGGTGTGGGAATAATTGTTGGGTAGTAGGATTAACCCCAATCCCTTGCCTGATGCATGCTTTTAGGAACAAGCAAATATATGAATGTTTTCTATTTTGTTTTTTGATTGCTTTGTTGTACTCCTTGTGGAATAAGATGTATGAAGATGTGATTAATTTTGGAAATAGATAAGTTATGATATGAATTAGAGTGTTATGTGGGTTCCTCCGGGAAACCCTATGAGAAACAGCAAAATATGAATGTTTCTGTTTTGCCTTCTGATTGTTCTGTTGAGTTTCTTGTTGGATGTGATGTGTAGGTATGTAATTGATTTTGAGAATGAACATGTTTTGATATGAATTAGAGTGCTTTACGGGTTCCTACGGGAAATCCTATGAGAAACGGGCAAAATACAAATGTTTTATGTTTTGATTTTTGATTCTTCTGTTGTGTTCCTTGTTGAATAATATGTATAAATATGTGATTAATTTTGAAAACAGATAAGTTTTGATATGAATTAGAGTGTTCTGTGGGTTTTTTTGGGAAACCCTATGAGGTAAAATTAGGAATATGATCTATGGATGATTTGAGGCATTATATGTAATGTTGATGATAACTTTATGTTTTAGATAAGTTCTTGGTATGATTTATGTATTATTTTGATGTATATGATGACGAGAAGTTTCTTTATGAGACTATGGGAATATGATGTGAGAATGTGAAAGGTGAACATATGATCTGTGATATGACATTGTGACATAATGTGACATGAGATATGATGAGATGTGAAATGTGAAGTGTTGAGTCAATGTAATTGTGAATGTGAGACATGCATCATATGCATATATGACTTATTCCAAGTGTGCCGCTTAGGCCGCATACCAGTGATGTAACAAGCTGTGTGATGAAACGACTTATGCCAAGTGTGTTGCTTAGGCCGCATACCAGTGATGTAATAGGAAATGTGATGAAATGACTTATGCCAAGTATGTTGCTTAGGCCGCATACCAGTGATGTAACAGGAAATGTGATGAAATGACTTATGCCAGGTATGTTGCTTAGGCCGCATACCAGTGATGTAACAGACAATGTGATGAAATGACTTATGCCAGGTACATTGCTTAGGCCCTATACCAGTGATGTAACAGATAATGTGATGAAATGACTTATGTCAGCTGTGTTGCTTAGGCCGCATACCAGTGATGTAACAGGCTATATTTATGTTGGGGTAGAGGGTGTTACAGTGATTATCAACATGAAGATGTTGGTGATGAATCTTAGGCTTCAGTGTCTGGCTTGCTCTGATAGAATATGTGACACCGGACATAGTTAGGATTAGTTTAGGGTGCTATTTCCATTGAACTATTTAAAAATTTGGTTTTATTTCTTTATAATTCTGCTGACATGTTATTTGGATTAAGTTTATAAATGTGAACTCTTTACCCTTATGTGGTTTGTAACACCCCGATTTTTATAAAATTATATTTAATAATACATAGTATTTATTTAAATATTTTAATGTGTTTATTAGAAGCATTTTTAATATTATTTAGTTATTTGATATGAACTTTATTTTTATATAAAACATATGCTATTTTTACTAGAAGGGAGAAATATATTTTATATTATTTATCTATTTTATGTGAACTCTATTTTAATAAAAAAATATTTTTAATTAATATTTGGATTATTTGCTATAAAACTATTTTTATGAAAATATGTTTTTATCAAAAATTATGTTTTTGTTATTTATTAAAAGGAGGAAATATGTTTAATTATTTTATGAGAAGGGAAGGAGGGATGTAGTGGTCTTTTGCTAAATATTATTATTATTATTATTACTAGCAGGAAAAAGGTACTTCGTGTCTGCATTGTATTAAAAAAAATATGGAAAAGAATGAGAAGTTACTCATAAAAAAAGGTAGTTATTGAAAAATAAATAAAGGATAAAATGGTCCATGTAAATTTGGAAACCAAAAGTAGTTATTTAAAGTGGTATCCCCTTTATATATTTGTATAGATGTAAATGTATATAATTAATTTAATTTTAAAAAAATTAATATTATTTAATGCCACATATTTTATTTTTTAAATTAAATTGAAGGAAACTTTTGAAATCAAACGTGAAACATAAAGATATTCTCGAGGGTGGCTTTGATTTAAAATCCTTCTTATATGTGAAAAAAATAATAATATCAATGGTAGAAAAAACAAAGAAAAGAATGGAGGAATTACTTTAGTAGAAGTAGAGGGGAGCACAGAATGTTGGATTCAACCTTATCGAAAAAGTTTGATGTTCCAAATGCAAGCAAAGCATTAAAAACAACTTGAAAACCAAAATCGAAACTAAATTAGTGTCATTTACTCCACAAATCCAAATTTCGTTTCGACGTACATACCTACAATTTCACAAATTCTAATTTTTAACATATCTAATTGAAGATGATTTAGAAAGAAAAAAAAATACTTGTCAATGATGTAGTTATCACAATGAAATTATTGTTGTTCTTCACCATGTTGTAATATATCCTAAAATTTCAATAGAAAAAGAAACAAAGAAATTCATTAAAAAAATATTGGAACATTAAAGAAGATTAGTTAAAATATATTACAACTTGCTTCAAAATGTGATTCATACCAAGATATAGTGTGATTGAGTTTGAAATAAAGGGAAAATTGAGAATCGATTGGTATGAAAAAACCGTAGAGGGTGAAAATGGAAAAAAAAATGTACAAAAGAGGGAGAAAGAATTTTTAAGAGGGAAAATATAAAATAGATAAAAGCATAGGTATGTTTAATGGTTATTATTTTAAAAGAAAATAGTTATTATTTCAAGAGAAAATAGTTATTGTTTTAAATTAAAAGAGAGTTACCAGCAATAAGGGTTAAAATTGGATAAATGGAGCCAATACCTTTTAATATCTTTTTAAAGAAAAATGGAGACCAATACCTTTTTATATCTTGTAATCTTAATCTTAAGTTATATCTATACTTATTTATAACAGATTTTATGAAAAGAAATTCGTTTATCATGCTACTTCCTTTGTATCATGCTTTTGGTTGATATGAGTATGTTTTTTAAGCTAAAAATGAAGGGAAAAAAAACAAACACAGCAAAAACTTGACATTTGTACTTTAAATTCTACCATATAATATTCATCACATATGTATGAATTAAAAATAATAATAAAAATTTAGTTGTACCATATAACTTGACATTGCATGTGTTGAGTTCAACTTATGTCAAGAAAGAACGAAAAATTGTATAGAATAGAGAATAAAGGACTAAAAATAATTTATTTAATTATAAAACTATTGAAAAGAAAATAAAGTTCAAAATAAAAAAAAACAGATATATTATAAATTTGTATTTTTTAATTTTAAATAAATTTTAAAAAATAAATTGAAATTCAAAAATGAAGTCATCTTAAATTTGAATTTTTAAAAAGTTGAGTAAACTTGAATTTTAAGGGGTAAAATTGAATAGACATAAGTGGAAACCAAAGACTTTGTATTCGTTTTAGATTTAGTTATAGATATTGAAAATTTTAAATCTATCTATTAAATAAATAAGTTTTAAAATGCATTTTTAAAATTTTTACAATCGATTTAAAAATACAAAACCAAAATTAGGCATATTTTAAATATGAATTTTTAATAAAATATGGTTAAATGTTTAAACTTTTAAATCTATTAAGTTGGTAAGTTTAAAAATGAATTTTTATAATTTTAAAAGAAAAAATGAATTCAAAAAATAGATATATATTAAATTTTGATTGTTAAAAAGTTGAGTAAATTTAAATTCATTGTTAAAATAATACACAAAATAAAAAGTAATTAAAAAAACATTTATTAGTCAAAAAAATATAACAAAAAATAAAAAATATCTCAATTACATGTTGTGATAGGACTGAGCGTAAGTTTGCATTCTTATTGGCTTGTGCAAGAACTGTCATCATCAAGAGATTAAAATGAGTAATTGATGATGATAAAGAAAAGAAAAAGAAAATTTTCAAGTGAGTAACTGAAAACAAGCATACAAATTAGAGAAGGAAAATATCATGTGGAATGATTTCATTACAGTAATAAGTTTACACCTTTATTCATTCACCCTTTTAATTTTTTTTGCATTAAAAAGATTGTAAAATTGCATTGAAAGCAAATGAAAATTAAAAATTGGGAGGAAAGTGACTATTGTACAAAACAAAGAGAAGTACAATATGTTAAGTGGGGTATTCACTCAAGGTCTTGAGACAGGACATACCTAAGTGTGTATAATCATTTTATCGCTGAGATTTAAAAAGATTGGTTGAAGGCTCAGTCTTGAGGTTTCATGGCAGGGAAGAGAAGAACCTCCTGTCACCAAAAAGGACAGAACATAGTAAGAAATTGTGAAAAGAAAGTAAGCATGCAGATAAAGAAAGAGCAAAAACCTTGATATTCTGTGAATCTGTCAGTAACATTGTCAACCGATCAATACCCAAACCCCAACCACCAGTAGGTGGCAAACCATACTCCAGAGCTGTACAAAATGTTTCATCCAGGGCCATGGCTTCATCATCGCCTGACTGCCGATCCTGAAATGTAAAACAAATAACAGTTACTACTGATTTTCTATTTTTTTTATAAAAAAAAAACTAACAATTAGAGCACAGTACATATTACAGTTGTATCAAATTTCATTACCTTTAATTGTTCAGCAAATCTCTGTCGTTGTACTACAGGGTCGTTCAATTCAGTATATGCATTGCAAACCTGAAAAGTAGCAGTGGTCAGAAGCATGATTCCGTTTTATTTCAAATAATAATCACCTAAATGCAATGGTCTTACTTCACGTTTACTGACAAACAATTCAAAACGTTCAGTCAGGCCTGGTTTTGATCTGTGCCACTTTGCTAAAGGACTCATTATCTCAGGATGGTTTATGATGAATGTAGGATTTACACACGTTTCTTCCAGAAATTGACCCACAAGCTGTAATATGAAAAGAATATAATTACTTCCTGCAGATACCTCGTAAGAGGCTCAAAATAAGGAATAAAATACATGAACAAAGTGCATTAATTAGAATTGTGCAAATTAAGAACCGAAATTATGTCCATAATTAAGCAACAAGTAGAGTTAAAATATAAAAACGTGAAAAAATAATAGACCAGAATTCATATATATTTCATTTTCCCATGCATAACACAGAAAATTGATGCTTTTATAGCCAACATCTGAACTCTTGACCTGGTCTTAATATCACTGAGAAACAGGGCCATTTAAACATTTGACCCATTTTCTGACAAGGAAAACGAAAGTAAATAATCTTTTACATTAAAGCAAAATTCAAAAACAAAGTAGATAATTATTTATATAAAAAGGAAGAAGAAAGGAGATTACTTTATCCAACAAACGAGCAGTTGTCTCAGGTGGGGGACATTTGATCTCATACTTCAAGCACGCATCCTTCAAATATTGATTAGCTTCCTCACTCAACAAGTCTTTGGGAATATTTAGGCCTGCCATCTTCTCTAATTCGTCAATCATGTCAATCCTTCTGTAACCATTAAAAATCCAAATCTATCATTCAACATCAGAATAGAATTATAATGACCATCAGCGTCCAGATAATGTACACCACGCACCTAAAAGGTGGCGTAAAGTCAATTTCAATAGGTTCCTTATCAACCCCATCTGCATGATACTTAATCTTATAGCTGCCTTTGGTAAGTTCAGAGAGAGAGAGAGAGAGAGAGAGAGAGAGAGAGAGAGAGAGAGAGAGAGAGAGAGAGAGAGAGAGAGAGAGAGAGAGAGAGAGAGAGAGAGAGAGAGAGAGAGAGAGGAAGAGAGGGGGAGTGAGAGTGAGAGAAAAAGTGGGGAAAATCTCTCATACATGGACAAACAACAAAGATAAGATCTGGAGTCAATCTTTCAGAAAAAGCCTACCTTATATTCCTATGACTTTAACATCTCAGATTTTCTAGAGTGTGGCTGACTGGCTGTTATGTGGCAATTGATCTACTGTTCACATAGAATGAAAATAATACTACCAATATAGAATGAAAACCCTAAACTAATATAAAGTTATTTTAATTTAATCAATAATTTTGAATTTAAATTTTAAACATGTAATGGTATTAAATATTAAAAAATAAAAATTTTAAAATATAATTATATCAAATATTTAGAAAGAGAATTTTATTATCATAATATACCTTACTAAACTTGAATATAGTTAGTTTCGGTAAAAGATATTTTCAGTCTATTAAAAAAGGAATGAAAATGTTTAGGATTTTAGTTTAGGATTTTAATCAATAGTTGTATTTCATACCCAAACAATAGTTGTAGTTAACACACCACAATATCATAAAGTCCACGCTTCCGGCAATTCTATTATCATGCAAATTCTATTCTTAAATAAAATATTTTTTTTTTATTTCTATAGATTTCTTTTTAAGTACTTTTAAAGGGAAAAAAAGTAAAATATTTTATTTTATGAGCTAAAATAAGTTTCTTTGTAAATTAAAATTAGTTTTAAAAAAATTAATATAAAAAACTTCAGCAAATTAACTTTTTATATAAGGTAATTTTGAGACCCGCACATATTTAATTTTAAAATTAACTTATAGATAAGATAATTTTAGTATTTAGAAAAACTTATTTATTTATATTTTATTTTCTTCTAAAAATATTTATGAAAAAATTTATATGCCCTGCGCAACAAAATAGTTAGATTTGAGTCCGTGAATCGTTTGCATTGTACCACACCATCCCATGGCCCAAACATATACCGAAGGCGGAAAACTTTGGGTCTCGCTCTAATCTTTGACGAGGAAGGCCCAATTATTAAAAAAGGTGGCCCGGGATAGTTGAATTAGACCACTTTACAATGAATTTTATTTATTTCCTAATGTTTTTGCCACATTTTTGTTAGGGCCGTCATAAAGCTTTCTATAAACTAAATTGGGAAAGAAAAAAAAAAACATTGACGTTAAGATTTGAACATGTACAACTTTGTATGACTACGTAATCACAATCTGGAAAAAATGGGTACATATAGTGATACACACATAAAAAACTGATGGAAAGTGGAAACCAAGAGTTTAGAAAAAAGGAGATAATAGAAAAGGTAACTTTCATGATTTCATCCCCATATATTAATAGGAAATTCAGCGAGCCACGAAAAACGATTGTGTGACTGTACATGATGATGATTGAAATGAATCAGAGGCAGACTTGTTTTTCTAAGTTGTTCAAAATGGCTGCAACTTGTGGCACAGAAGGCCTACATTTCCTGGGATTGGCAACACAGGCAGAAGCAACTTTGGCTAATCTAACAAGAGGATTAATATGAGAAGGAATGAGCAACCTAGGATCCAAAAGTTGAGTAAAAGAGGTTTCCCTGATCAAAGGCAATGCCCAGTTGACCAAGGCCCCTCCCTCACACCCTTTCCCACTCAAAAGCTCCAACAGCACCACTCCTAACCCATAAACATCACTCTCCTTGGAAGCTCCACCACCCCTTCTTCTCTCACTCCAATACTCATCATCCACATACCCCACCACCCCTCTCTTCTCCGCAGGTGCCAAAAAGTTAAGACCATAGTCACAAATCCTGGCACAAAAGTTTACATCAATCAGAATATTAGAGGACTTGACACACCCATGCACAATGTTTGGCGCCACAACCTCATGCAAATATTGAAGCCCTCTAGCTGCTCCAGCCGCGATCCTCAACCTCTTGTTCCAATCCAAAAGCGAAGCCCCATCAGGGTTCTGATGCAGGTAGAACTCCAAGCTCGCCATGTGCACCAACTCCATCACAATAACCCTCTCACCCGGTGCTTCCGAGAACCCTATGATCGGAACCACGTTGGGGTGTTGAGCCAGGGAGAGCCACTTCAACACGGATGAGAAACTAAACCCTGCATTAATATTGCTCAACACAAGAAAAGGGTGAATCCTTTTCACGGCTACCACTTGTTCTTCTTTCTCTAGTCTTCCTGCGTACACTGTTCCTAAGCGACCCTGCCCAATGATTCTTCTTTGGTTGAAGCCGTCGGTGGCGGCGTCGATTTCCGTCAAGGGGTATGCACCAGCACAAAGCTTCACGGGGAGTGTTTCTTCTGATTCAACGGGCTTCTTCTTGCAAGCCAGGAAGAGGATGATTCCAAGAACGATGAGAGATATGGATAGAGTGATCATCACCACATCGTAAGCGATGTGCTCAACGTGGTTCATTTTTTTTGCTGCTGAAGATGGAGGATTCAATGGTTTGGTTTGTGAAACAAGGTTATATATATAATATATATACATGTCACTGCGTTCCTTCCTTAGATTTCAAAGCCAAGAGTTGAAAAAGAAAAAAGTTGACAACTACGGGTGGATGGATAGATCGGTCAGATTAGTTGTGGTAGTTCATAGCTGCCACCTCTACCTCTCATATCATTCACAATAAATTTCTATTTCTATTATAAAGTTCTATACATATAAGAGTTTTTCTATCAGAATTAAAAAATATTTTCTTATAAAAAATCTTTAAAAATACTTTTAAATTTGTATTTAGTCAGATGTACCAAAGGAGGAAAATAAAAAAGAGAGATAAAATAGTTAACGAAACAGAGGAAGATTAAAAAAATTATATTGTTACATGTTTTACAAAAATATATTATATAAATAATTCATATAGTTTAATATATAGTGTACATACGAATATTGAAGTGTTAAAATATCAATAAGATGGAGTAAAAGATTATGGAAACCCATCTTGCACTTGAAACATGTTTGGATCTAATTTATAAATGACTTCCTAATAAAGTCTTTACGTAACAGATTCCAACTCACCTTTTTGGTAAAAATGGAAAATGTTTGTAAGAATAAAAGAACGTTAACGTAAAAAAACATTTAATGTTTGTGGATGAGGTAAAACCATGCGATATTTCATTTTTTTCCCCTAAAAAAACCACATGATATTTCTAGTTCGTAAAAATATTCAAATTACTGAAAAGTAAGCCTATAAATTTCTTCTTTGTAGGTTATCAATAACATGAAATTGTTCTGACTTAATTAATAATTTTAAATTCAATTTTAGATATAAAATTATGTTAAATATTTTTAAAAATTATGCTATTCATAATAATTATATTTGAATATGATTAATTTCAGTGAAGAATATATATATATATATATAATTTTTTAAAAAAGCTTTTTTAATTATACAAAAATATATTTTAATTTCTGTAAGAGGATTACAAAAACTTTCACTTATCAGTTTTATGGTCTTGGATGGATGAGATCAATTATAATACAAAATTCACTTTAAAAGAATACCTATCTCGTATGAGGTATATATGTTTTCTACCAAATTAAGTTTCCCCTCCCGATACTTAATTATCATCTCGGACCTTCTTTTTTTTTTTTTCCCTTTTTGCTTAATGAGTGGTTTATAATTATATATCAAGATATGATTAATCTTTCTAGACTTTTGTATTACATCTTTCTATCATACAGACAACCATCTTTGATTCTTTTACAAGATCATTTGAATGTGCACTGAATGTGACTTTCTTTTATTAATTTTATGAAACTTTTCCAATAATATTATCTTTACTATAAATTGGAATAGTGATAAAAAAAAATACTATAAATTTGGATCGTTAATTTAGAGAATGAAATTCTTATTCTCTCAATTAAATTCTTAACAGTACTCTCCCTCATTTCTTCTTGGGAGATACATTGCATACATATCAAGTCTCAAACTACCTTCATTTTAACTTTATTTGCATATTTTTCTTAACTGTTTATTTACTTTAATTTAAAAATAATCTTATATTAAATTTATTTTTTTTATATAAATTTAAAATGTATTTATTATAATTCTAATTATAATAATGTAATTATAAATTAAAAATGTTTATTATTAAAACTTAATTATAAACATTTATTTTATATAATTCACGTGCTAAAACGATATTATGAGTTTATGAGTCTATTGTGATAAATTTATCTATAAACTCTGCTGTGAGAAAATATAGGGGAAAAAAGTTTTTCTATAATTTAAAATTAATTTATATATACAGGTAAATTTATAAAATCTCTATCAAATTAAATTTAATAAAAAAATATTTTTAACTTATGGCATAAGTTGATTTTAATTTATAATTTCTTTTTCTCTTAGAAATGTTTACGTAAAAGTTATCCAAACACGTTTTATATGTCTATAAAATTAGGAACTTCTGTTACACTGCTGTTAATGTCTATAATATAAAGTAACCCAGAGAAAGGTTGGTTTACTAAAGATATGTATGGAGTCATTAATCTATTCTTATTTTTGTTTGATGCATCCACTAATTATGGATTCCTCGTTTGTGTTGAGGTGGGTGGGAGCATATATTGTTAAGAACAAAAGGCATAAATTGGGAGCAAATAAATTCTTTGTATTCTCATTCATATTGCAAATGAAATATTACAAATTAAAACTCCTTTGATTGGTCTGGAACGGCCCGTTCTGAAATTGGAACGACCCGTTCCGGGAACCAGAACGGCCCGTTCCTAAATGAGAACGGCCCGTTCTGGGTTACAAATTTTAGCCCCCTTTTGATATCTCAAAACGGCCCATTCGGGTTAAGATTTTTGTAAGCCTTTTTAGGTTTGGAACGGCCCGTTCCGATTTTGGAACGGCCCGTTCTAGCCTATTATTTTTAGGCCTTTTGCCTGGTTTGGAACGGCCCGTTCCAGACTAGGTTTTTAGGCCTTTTTTGTGACTTAGAACGGGCCGTTCCGATTTTGGAACAGCCCGTTCCGGACCACTAAAATCAATGTATTTGGACTTTAGGCATTCTGATGTCTTGTCTTGTTGTCTACATGCTTGGGAGCTCCAACTCTTTGATGATAGACGTCCATATCTTTGTTTGTATGCTCCCGGACGAAATTGGGTGTCTACATGCCTGTGGACATCTATTTTGCACATAGACTGCACACTGCACCGCCTCTGCCCAAAACTTCTTTGGCATGTTCTTCCCTTTCAACATAGATCGAACCATATCAAGAATAGTTCGATTCTTTCGTTCCGCTACACCGTTTTGCTGCGGAGAATATGGGGCAGTCAAGAAACGCTTGATTCCATGTTCCTCGCAGTATTTGTTGAACTCAACAGAAGTGAACTCGCCTCCTCTGTCAGATCGGACTGCTTTGATGAATTTAGTTGTTTCTTTCTCCACCATTACTTTGAATTTCTTGAAGGTTTCAAACACTTCTAACTTCTCCTTCAAAAAATAAACCCATGTCTTTCTTGAGAAATCATCAATGAAAGAGACGAAATATTTCTTACCACTGAATGATTCTGGAGTTATTGGCCCACACAAATCGGTATGGATCAGTCCGAGTTGCTCCTTTGCTCGGTACTCAGAACTCCTTGGGAAAGAAGTCCTCGCGTGCTTCCCGATCACACATTCTTCACAGAACTTCTTTTCAAACTCCATTTTAGGAAGTCCAAACACCATCTCCTTTTTCACCAGCTCGGTCAACCCCCCAAAGTGAAGATGACCGAACCGCAGATGCCACTTCATGGCCTCATCCTCCAAATCAAGTTTCATGCATTCATCTTGAACTATTTTCAGCTCAAGTTTGTACATGCGATTTTTCTTCATTTCTACCTGGGCAATGAGTCTTCCGAGTTTATCCTTCAGTTGTAGTTCTCGGTCCTTCATCAGAACCGAGTACCCTTTCTCCATTAACTGTCCCATGCTCAGTATGTTGCTTTTTAGATCAGGTACGTAGTATACATCTCTGATCTCTCCGATTTTCCCATTTCTCTGTTGATACCAGATCGTTCCTCGGCCTTTGACGGCTACTTTCGAAGCATCGCCGAAAGAAACGGATCCGAGCTCCTCCTTTGAAAGTATTTTGAATAAATGCTCGTCACCACACATGTGGTTACTTGCGCCGGTGTCCAAGTACCAAACTGAGTTATCAGAACAACTCGGTTTGATCTCGGAAGAACAGCTCGGTTTGATCTCGGTTTCTAGAACGGTTGTCACCAGCAACACTCCTTCATCTTCTTCCTCGGCAAGAAAGTTTGTTGGTTCCTCCTTTTTCTTCTCGGACCTACAATCTTTGGAAATATGACCCAGATTTCCACAATTGTAGCATTTGATCGAGTAACACTCCTTGGCAACATGTCCATACTTTCCACAGTTATAACATTCAATATTGTTATTTGTGTTTGATCGGCCACCCCAGGTTTGACCTCGGCCTCCCCGAGCCTGACCTCGGCCACGCCGAGCCTGTTGGCCGACATACTCATCACCTCGTCCTCCTCTTCCTCAATCGCCTAGGCCTCTGCCTCTTCCTCGGCCTCTAGTACTCTGAGCATAGAGCACCTTCTCCTCCTTTATTGTTTCCTACGCCTGGAGAGCCTGTTCAAGAGACTCCCCCTTCTCCTTCTTATTCTTCTTTCTCTGCTCATACGCCTACAGGGACCCAGTAAGCTCTTCGACAGTGAGCGTTGACAAATCCTTGGACTCTTCGATTGCACACACTATATTCTCAAAGTCATCTGTCAATGACCTTAAGATCTTCTCCACAACTCGGCTTGAGGGAAGATTCTCTCCATTCCTGTTTAGTTTGTTCGCCACAGTTTCCACCCGAGTAATGAACTCGGATACTCCTTCGGACTCCTTCATTCTCATGTTTTCCAATTCGCCCCTAAGGGTTTGAAGCCGAACTTGCTTCACGCGTTCATCTCCCTTTTTTGCTTTCTCGAGTATATCCCATGCCTCTTTTGAAGATTTAGCATTAGCTATCTTCTCAAAACCCGACTCGTCAACAGCTCGGTACAGCAAATACAGTGCTGCCTTGTCCTTTGCTCGAACAACCTTCAATGCATTTAGTTGGGCATTTATATACCCCTCGGTAGTCACCGGTTCCTCGTGCCCATTCTCAACCACATCCCAGTTATCTTGGGAGCCGAGAAGGGCCTTCATCTGCAGCTTCCAGTTATCGTAGTTGACATCTTTAGTCAACTTGGGTAGTGGAATGCCATTAGTTAAACCTGCCATCTCTCTTGAGTGTATACGCTCCACTCACACACCTCACAAGACTTTTTGACACTCTTCTCTCGGGCTGGGTACACCAGGTCGGCTCACACTCACCTCACGCACTCAAGCTCTGATGCCAATTTGTTAAGAACAAAAGGCATAAATTGGGAGCAAATAAACTCTCTGTATTCTCATTCATATTGCAAATGAAATATTACACTTATTTATAGCAGAAAGAAAAACAACGTTTGCATCTTTAAATGCCACTCATAATTAACCACATTAATATTATTCTAAGAATACCAAGCAAAACAAAACTCCTAATTTAAGTTTCATAAAATATATAACCACATTTTAAATTATACTACTATAACCTAAAAGCATTTAGTTACGAC